TGTGTGTGTGTGTGTGTGTGTGTGTGTGTGTGTGTGTGTGTGTGTGTGTGTATGTATGCGTGTAAAAAAAAGTGTTTCATCTTTAAATTTAGTGGGTGCAGCTTATGTTCAGGTGTGCGCAATAGCCAGGAAATTAAGGTATGACCTGTCATATGACCTGTAGCCATCTGTGAACTTTCCTCCATCATCCTACTACGCACCGAGTTTGCCTTCGCTTGTAATTCACAGAGCAACAGAAAACGGTCTGTGTAGGTGTAGCCACGAGTACTAACACTGTCTGCAGACAAGCAACAACTCTGATAAATGTCCAAGAAAAGCAAAAACCTAAACAACCATGCTACAAGAAAAGTAAAAAGTTTTTCATCACAGATCAATGATGACAGTTGAGTGCTCAAACGGCAGCAGCTTTTTAGATTTTGTTCTTGCTGAAGTTATTCACCAGGAAATCAATACAAAAATAAACATATATTGAAAAACACTTAAAGTTTAGACCTATTTAAGTGGGATTTTATGAAAAATATATAAATAATAAATATCTTAACAATTACAGATAGCTTTTAAAACAACCTTAGTTTGTAGAAAATTAGATTTTTCTGACAGAATTGGTGAGCTAATGGCTTTTCAGAGCAGGGCCAAGAGCAAAGTGGATTGCTGCCATTTTAAAACAGCTCCAGTCTAAAGAATTTCATAATGATTCATATAAAAGCTATTTTAGAAAACATTACATCTCCATCTCTTTTGCAAACACGGTTATTTACATTGAGTGCCTTTAGTTATTCATGAGCTGACCTTGCTGTAGCACCTCTGGTGCAGACTGGGGCACTTCCTGCAGGAATATCACAAATATTTCTACCAGAATAACTCCTCTCAGCAACAAAATAACCACACATAGACCACTTTTCATACCCTTCCTGTCCAGCTTTGGGGGAAATGACATTACTAGCAGTTGTTTAGGCTCGACTATGATCCCACTGAGACATTTTAAACTTCTGTCAGTAAGGTCTGTGGCACAGCACATTTTGCACACAGGCTGCTGGTTGATGAAATCTATAAAAACATGATTTACTTTAAAGCATGTGGACAGCATTACTGATCTCAACATAGAACTAGCTGCATCCAACTACGTGGATACTAAAAGCACCCTGAGGTAAATGTTTAGTAAATGGCTCCATGTCTGAGATCGCCATCAGTGGGAGCAGGCAGAATACAACAGGATTTCCTCTGAGTGATTAGAAATTTAGAGTCTTGTTGACTTGGCTTCAAAAATCTCTGGTACATCTCCCTTCAGAGTTGATTTCACCATCATGGCATGGGTTGAGAATATGCACCTCAAATGAATTCCTTCTACAGAAGTCTCCTTTGATGTGTTTACCAGTAATTAGGCTTCAGCAGGTCACCCAAATTAGATCAATCTCTGTTTTTACCTTTCCGGTGATGGCTGACCACACTTTCAGCGTGTTGTCGTCAGAGCCGCTGACGATGCGGTTGCCACAGAACTGGAGGCAGGTGATCACATGGTCGTCGTGTCCTTTCAGCACCTTGAGACAAGACAGATAAGCAGAGATGCGATGAGGGGAGGGACATGAAAAAAAGGATAAAAGTGGGCTGACAAAGCAAATGACAGGAACTCTCTCTGGAGCGTTCTCTATCAAAGCACAACAGAGATAAGAGGGAAATGTCAAAAAGAGCTGCAGATGTTTCAGGAAAGCTGTTTGCTTCTGTGTTTTTTAAGATGCCTCTGCTACTGGGTCACAATGATGCTAGCTCAGCAAATGACAGAACTTGCTGTATATGCAAAGGAAAACAAAGACCACTATGTCCTACATGACCTGCCGCCTTTTTAAAAAAAGCTGCCTTCAAGGTCCACTGAAGACCCACTTTAACTTGCTGCTTGTGTTTTCTTTTTTGGAAAACTTCTTCAGAAGTAATAGAAGAATGGAAACTTTAGATTGAAACAGACCATCCTTTGGCCCCACTTGACTATGATTTCACACGACTACAGCAGACGTGACTTATCACTACCTTCCTATCAAGTCTGCACTTCAGACCTCTTTTTGAACAGCCATTCTTCGACTCAAAGCCATTTGATACCAGATCTTCAAGATCAACTGTGTGGAATTTAGGTTTGCAGGGAGGAAAAAGCTACCTTGGGTGATTTAAGGTCCCCTCTCCTCCAGTTAGTGTCTATTCTGTGCTGCCTGATGTAGGCACTCTTCCAGGGGCTGTGAGTGAAGCCGGGCTTGACAATTTTTCTTTTCTTCAAAGGCAGAGGTTCATCAATACCTGTAAGGGGCGAGAGAGTAGCTGATTGGAGTAAAGAAGCTCCTATTTCCTCACAAAGTTTATTTTCTTCAAAGGACATGCGAATTCAGCACTGACCCTGGACTGGCATCTCTTAAGATGTTTAAGACTCACCCTCTTCCCTGCATTTTTCTCTCCACAGCAAGTTGTCTTCTGCCAGGATGCGCCAGTAGCGACACGTCTGTGCCGCTTGGAGGAGGTCCTTCGGTTCCAGAAATGACAGCACATACAAAGCCAGCTGTTGACAGACAGATACAGAGAATATATAACGGATGTACAACACTACGCCAAAGATTTAACCACATTTGAAGTCTTTATACTTTGCTTCCAAGTAGCTGAACTTTCTTTTTTCTTTGAAAGCAGTTCAGATCAATAGTTCTTTTGGCTTTCTAAAAGTTTTTCAAAGTCTTTTTATTTATTTATTTTTTTAGAATTTGGCAGCTTTTTGACTCATTTTCTGTCCAGTACCTGACCAGAACAGCATTTTGTGCAGTACGAGCTTAAAAATGAGGTCAATAGAAAAGCGGAAGACAAAACTGCAAGGATTTAAAAACCACCAACAAAAGATAAATATCTGAAAGTTGTGGCTTTACCAAAAATGGGAAAATGTCCAGTAAAGACCTAAAACAGGACCTGAAAGATGCAAAATCCTTCAGTGTATCAACGACTCTACGACAGGTTCTCAGCATCTCAGCATTGTTGATGCTAAAATACTCATTTATTGTTGGTGCCAAACATAAATGAAAGATTCATGAAAAGATTCATCTAAAAAATGTGGAACAAATTGTGCCATTGCAGCTCAGCTAAAGTGCCTAAAGATCCCATTTAAATTTAGTTCCTTACTAAGCTGTCTTGTATGTCAACACAGCACTGGTTCATCTCTTGAGTATGAGAGTTATAATATGAGAAGAAAAAAGTCTCAAAATACAGTAAATAAAGACAAAATGAGACATTTTCATGAGCAGCTGTATTAATAATACAAACAGAATATGTACAATATTATCAATGTAAGTCAAACTAAATCTGAGTTAATAACACAATGAAAGAAAGTTGAATCAATGACTCTGCTGAAGGTAAAACACGAGGCAGTTCGATAAGAATTTAGGCTAAATTCAGTGGACAAAGAAAAAAACATTAATAACTGTATATCTAAGAAAATACATCTAATATTACCTGTTAGACAAACATTTGTATAAGGTTTGCAAAAATCCACGTCAGTTTTAGTAACTTCTCTGCATCATGGGCGAGATCAAATCTGCTTTGTAAATGTTTCAATTCGTTTCATTCTGATACGGACCCACATCTAGGGTCTATATCGAATATAATCTATGTATCGTGAGTTTTTCAATTTACGATGGTTAAAATGGCTCTATCGCAACCATCAAGTAGTATTAGACTTGAAAATCCATGTAGTTCTTTTTCTCCTGTCTGCGCCAACTTCACGTGGTCCCTCCTCCTCCCACACTGAATACAAACACAGCCCAACACGTGCTGCTTCACACACACTAACGTCGTGAAGGCGGTGCAGATGAAGAGGATTATTATTTAATATATGTAAACAAACTAATATATGTAAATAGTTCTTTTTTTTAGACATTTATTTTGTACAGTTACAGCTGTTTGTTAATAAGTGTGCCTGTGTGACAACTGGGACAAACTTTGACTCAAATACATATTTGTTATTACTTTATGGAACGAAAAAATATGGAGATATAAATCATATATCGCGATTTATCTTAAAAATATCGAGATATTAATTTTGGCCAATATCGCCAAGCCCTACTCGCATCACAATCATAAATTTAAGGGAGATGCCATAAGCATCAAAATGGAGTACAATTTATTCTAAGATGTTGAAAAACACAAGCCTAGCAAAAATAAAATACAATAAAATAGATTTAATTTTTTTTAGGTTAAGATATACAGTAATTTATTTGTATCAGTCAGTCAGCTAGTGGCCACTGGAAGTAAAAAAGAAAGAAAAATAAATGAGGGCAGATTATTTGTGTTAAGCAACAAACTAAAAGGTGAAGTGTTTATAGAGAGCATAGTACTTTACATCAGTTCCCTTCACTTTGCTGAGATTTTTCCCCTCAACACAAATCTCAGCAAGAACATTTTTCTACACACCCCATAATTTTCAAGGCATTGCTACACTTTTCTTAATGCAAGTGTTAATTATAGTTGAACTAGAAGGAAAAACTTTAGTCATGACAAGCAATTGAACAGGTCCGAATGTTTTTAAATTGGAATGTAGATTTTAAAATGGTTTTGTCATAATACAGTTTAGGTTTGGATTTCCTCCAGCAAAGACCCAAAACGAGTCTTCAGGACATACGTTTATCACCTAAAAACAGTTTGAGCCAGAAAATTATTATGAGTACACAAAACTATTACACAGAATTAATTTAGTCTTCAGGCATCAGTGTTCATAGTTTTAGCTTCATTTTCCATTTGATTTAGAAGAAAAAAACTAAGGCTGTTGATCAACAGAATAAAAAATAAAGGGGGAAAAACACAATAAATGAAGGAAAGCCATTTCCTGGTGTGAGCAAACGAGACAAGTCCTTGTGTTGTCGTTTTTGACACTTTCTAATGTTGCACCATATGGCGCTCATCGGCTCCACACCAGTTAAGAGCCTGCCCACTGTCAGTATCCACCCCAGTCAGCTCGGTCCATGGGACCATCTTGTTTGAGGTTCCAAGCAGACTGCTCCGAGGTGCCAATTCTGATGTAAGCAGACAGAAGCCACTGGAGCTACATCACTGGATGACCCGCTCAGATAAACTGCAAACTACATCTGAACCTCCACTTCCTCATTTTGTTGACAGACAGCGACACAAGAAATGAGTGCATTTACTGACATATCGGAGATGATGGATGGCTGCACTTGGACTTATAAGCAGTGCCGGGATAAGCTAACGAAATTTAAGTCTGATTATAGGACGATTAAGAACCCCAACAGGCAGAGTGGCTCGAACAGACCAGTTATGATCCTGATCACAGAGCGGGGAAACAGGTCAGCCTCCACTGTAGTGGCAAATCACCTACACCTGAGAAGAACTGAGAAGAGGAGAGCTGAGTGGAGCTGCACTTACCGATGGCAAAGTGGCATTATTGCCTCACCCTCCATCCTATCACCTGACAGAAAGATTTGATCTACTATAAAACACATAGTTGATACTAAATCTCTAATCTAAGCAGAGTTCAATTTCAAATTTTTTGATTATCACGTGTAACAAAAAATAATAACACACTCGCTGTGGTTGTTTAAAAATCGGAGACATGAGAGCAGACGGCAACAGGACTGAGTTTGCTTTTACAGACTTTAGGGTCCAGAGAAGAACTCACCTCTTTGGGCAGCAGGGAGATGAAGTCGCGCTGAAACTGCGGCTCAATCACCTGCATCATATGCTTGACTTGCGTGGGCTCACAGCTGTCTATCAACTCGTCCAGCGCCAGCAGCTTTTCTGGGCCAGTCCAGCTCTACAACACACAGCAAAGAAAATGTGCATGAGACTTATTTAGGTGTTTGCATTTCATGTATGAAGTACAGTAGTCCCTCAGTACTTCATGGTTCTACTTTTGCAGACTCACTCTTTGGCAGGTTTTCAATGTAAGATTGTATACATGACACAAGATTGGCTGAGTCATGGAAGGCGACCAACCAGAACACAAGTGGCCAGTGCTTTTCTCTTTTTTCTCTTCTCCCTCTCTGTGCCACCTTTCCTCTGTGGCTGTCTCTCTTCCTCCATTCTACAAGCTATATGACTCAAACAGGAGAAAAGATGGACATACAGAGATGTGTGTGCGAACATATAACCCTCGCGAGCCATTACAGGCTATAGGGGGCGGGTGCACAACCCGTTGTGTGTCTCTGCTCTACTATGACAGACAGCCTCAGAAAAAAAAAAGTGTGGATGGGGCCGGGCGGGGTTTTCTGTCTTTCCCCATCGCTACTGTTCAGTCTGTGGGAGCTGATCCCTGAGTGAGTGGCATGGATTGTTTATTTTAAATAATCATGCACAACCTGGACTGAGCCTTTAGTCCAGGCCACATGGCAATCACTGAGCGGGCCAGGCCACCGGGACATGTCCCAGTGCTTCCGATGGCCAGTCCGCTACTGAACCAGAGCATTGTGCTCTGTATCTCGGGCGCTGATTGGCTCAGTAACCACAGCATCAGTCGGTCTGCTCTCTTTCGCTGTGCTCTTTTAGAGTGTTTAGAGAGCTTAGAACACTGCAAGAGTACGAGAAGGGTTTATAAAGCCTTTATTTTATATATATATATATATATATATATATATATATATATATATATATATTTATTTATTTATTTCAAAGTCCCTACTTCGCTGATTTTCACCTATTGTGGGGGTGTCTGGAACGTAACTCCCACAATAAGTGAGGGACTACTGTATGGTCGTTCTAGAAAATACAAACTGTATGGATTGTCATGTGCAAATGCATCGCAGCTACAGGTTATTTTAGGTTACTAAAGCTCCATGAGGGGAACAAACATGAAGACCTGTGTTATTTTACAGCTTTAACCTTTTAGTGCCAATAATTAAAGGAGTTTTCTTTAACACAATCAAGTTTAATTTTCTTTCGTAAAAATCTAACAAAGAAACTAAATGAATAGGTATTTGCTTAGTCTACCCAAACAGTGACCCAGTTGTACAAACATGACTTTACATAAACTATCTGCAAACACAGTTCTGTCAAACAAAGCAAATTTGAGCCAGAGCACTTGGACTCCTATATTGCAATTGTTTCTGCATAACACTATATAAAATTATTCTGGCTAACTTTGTTTCCAGTTAGAAAACTATGAAATGATTTCTCTCCAACTGCTGGCTCTGTTAGTGTTACCAGTACAAAATCACTGAGGCAGTTTGAAAAACACAGCAGCAAAAGCTTCCTGCGGTTTCTCCCGTTCTGTATTTACTATGCAATTTTGTTTTACAAACTCTGCAAATGATAAACTATCAATCCAGTACCCAGGTGGAAATGCTGCATGTTCACTTCTCTGCTTTGCCACACCCAAACGGTAAACATTTTCAAGGAGAATTGAAAACAGGACCGGGGTGTTACAGGATTGTTCCAGTTCACTGCCTTGTTTAACAGTCACGACTGAGAAACCTTCCGTCTTGCACAGTGCGACTTGCAGAGTTGCTTGAGGCATTTCAGCCAGCACATCAGGTGGGAAAAGTCGTATATCAGGAACCAGCTTTAGTGGAAATCCGTGGGACAGTTGTCAGCTTCAACGTTTAGCAGTTTCACGGTTGCTGCTGAAAAATGCTCTGAACTCTTTGTTGAACCCACGAGCTGCAGCTGTTTTGCTCTGTGGCGAGCTGAACTCAACAATGATTACAGGCCAGAGCGCAGGCTGGAAAAATCTGGCGCAACACCTGTAATTTGGCAGCAATAAGGTGTAGCCAGAGGTGCTGGTTCTGGAGGTAATAAAGAGGGTCAGAAATCTTTTTTTTAAACCGGTATTTATACATTTTTTAAACTGACCGGCTTTGCAATTTTGTTTTACAAACTCTGCAAATGATAAACTATCAATCCAGTACCCAGGTGGAAATGCTGCAACATATTTAACATGTACATCCACTTCAATTATTAGTAAAGTATCTATTTAAATGCCTTTTTTTAAACAACAAAAATAACAACATAAACAATAACACAAAGGGAGAGAAAGTGCTTTTTGTTCCAATCACCATATCATTCAGAAATTGCAATGTTTAGATCTGGTCTGCGTGATTTTATATAAACCATTTTTTCTAGTGAAAAGTAAATTGGTCCTTTTTGTCCTTTACTTCTGCAGTTATTCTCTCCATCCTGTACATGCCCGTTGTGATGTCCATCCATATGTTCAACAATGGGCTCTCCAGTGAAAGACAATTTTTTGTGAGGGCTTTTTTGCACACCACTAATAAAATATTAAACAAATATTTGTCTATCTTTGACAATCCTTCAGGCATGAGTCCAAAAAACAAAACTTTTCTTTCCAGAGTTGACTTCCAATAATATCGTGTATTGTCTTATGTCTCTCCTTCCAATAAGTTTTAATTACTTGACAGTCCCAAAAAATATGGTAATGACGTACACTTTTATTTCCACATTTTCTCCATCAAGCTGGAGAATTACCTTTATAGTGGGATTTTTGGAAAGGTGTAATAAAGTATCTTATCAAATTTTTCCACCCAAACCCTCTCTATCTCAATGAGCTGCTACATTTCCACTGATACTGAATGAAATTAGGCGCGTCACGATAATAAATTGTGCTGGGCAATTTTCTCAGGAATTATTGTGATAAACGATAATATTGTTTGAAATTTGACAACAATTACTAATTATTGTCAAATTTAAGAAGAAATATTTATTTGTTTTGCATGTTGTACCTTTTCTCGACCACTGGATTGCAGTATAAGACTGAACCGAAGGATGGATAGTAAGGAAGCGAGCAGTGTGTCTCTAAGAAAAATGGGAGGGAGGCCCATTGACGTGACACGGGCTGTCTCTCTTCGGTTCTCAAAATGGCGGATGCCCGGTGTGGTTCCAGCTCTTTAGCATAGCATTTCTCACACAAAGCTTTTAATAAAAAAAAATGGTAAACAAGTTCTCAGCTTTTTTTGCAGAGAAAAACTTTTTAGATGAAGGCACAGGTTTCAACTGTGAATTCTGGAGCTTCGACAAGATGGAGATATTTTTTCCGAGGTTGGCCTGTTAGCTTAGCTCGTAACTTAGCTTCAAGAGCCTGGTTCTGCTGGAGGTTACTTCCTTTTAAAGGGAGTTTTTCCTTTCCACTGTTGTCATTGCGCTTGCTCAGGATGGGAGACTACAACGAAGTGAAGATTCAACGAGTCTGCTAGCTTCCTTAGATAGAGAACTTTACTAAAAGGTTTTTTGAATGTTTTTGTACAGTGCCCCGAGACAACTTTGTTGTGATTTGGAGCTATATAAATAAACTGAATTGAATTGCATGAGTATTTTTCTTTAATCCTTTCAAAACTTTGTAACATGTTGTCTCTCATCATCTTACACACAGCTGTTAATCATTTATGTGCCCATTCCTTGAATCTAGTGTCTAATTTATTTGGAGTAAACTGTGTAGCGTATACGCAGCACTTTAAGATTACTATATCCCCGTCTAATTTGTATGTTGTTATTGCGGTTTTCCACGTTTTAAGAGTCACCTTGATCCATGAGTTTTCTATACTCTTTAGCATTTTGCAGGTCGCTGTCTGCTAGGAGTGCTTGTAGGGGGATGGGGGTCAGGGGTAATAAAGAGGTTCAGAAGTCTCCTTTCTAATAGAAGACCAGCGTAACACATATGTTGCATCTAATTTCTGCCATCAGCTTTAAAAGTTTAAAACAGATTCTGGAACATTTCGGCTTCACCATCATTAATCTGAGATGAAAACTTTTGGTCGTAAAGTTTTCTGCCTTTTGTTACGCAGTCAAATTATATTTCAATCTGCTTTTTACATATTGCTGGACTCAACTTTTAGGCGTTTTTCATCCATTTATAAGTATATAAAACTGAAACATGTTTTTGATTTTATTTCGTTTTCATGACGACTTTTTATTTTTATTTTGGCAACACTTTAAAGATGATCTACTATAAAAATAAACCTAACCTTTTTCTCTTTTTGGTGGAATTTATTTAAACTGAGCAAAAGCCCATCGTATGTTTTTGTGCAATTTATGATTACAATCGTCTAATGCAGTGAGCTATTCAGGTTTCTGATGTCACAAAGTCAGCCTATAGTACATTTATCCAGCCCTCTCTCCTGTCTTTGTCTCTGCTTGACCTTTATCTTCTGTAGTCCACCCTTTAGAAGGCACACCCCACAGAATATTGAAGTGAGGTGAGGGGGGAGGGAGCAGTAAATAACTGCCCACTAAAATCGACTGCTCTGAGCCGAGCTACTTTAACAAAACTAAAGAAAGGTGGGGTTGTGCTTTATAATTAGCAAGCCAAGGTTAGATCATAATAAACAGGATTTACTATGTGTTTACTAGACACTAAAATACTTTTTAGCTTTCACATTGTTTGTCTTATCAAGACGTCTAGACAGACCTGAGTCTTTATATTTAATTCTCAAACAATATGAGATAAAACTAAATCTCCAGAATTCTGTAACGAAAATCCAACAACAGTTTGGCACAGGTATGATACAAATACTGTACAGAATGAAGGCTTGATATTCGGCTGCCTCGGGTGTAAGAATAAAGACTGTAGCTGGTCATACTCTGTGACTAAAAAATGTAAATAAGAAAACAGAGGCGTCACAGGTTCAGCCAACCATTTGATGATAAAAGATTTAATCTCTCTTAGGTAATGAAATCCATAGCAGCTTGTGTAAAGAAACAGAGGTTCATCACAAGTAAAATGTTTAAATTACTTCTTATTTCCTTAAATCGGGAGTCATTAGTTCTCAAGACTGAGACAGAAATGTCTGCTCCAAGATCTGTGTAAAGACAACAGAGATAACGCATCACTAACACACTACAGTTAATTGGTGATCATTAAAGGGAATTAAAATAAAAAAAAGAAATATTTTGTCATGTTTTCTCATCACAGATGTTCACCCAGAAATGATTAGTCTATTTTTAAAGAGCCCAGAGGACAGTTTTTAATAAAGGCTGTGGTTCTGATCAGAGTTCGTGAGATCCTCAGTCCAACAGGTACAACTATTATAATCCCAATGTCATGCTACAGTGCCTGTGTTAATGTGGTGAACAAAACATATAAATAAAATTACAAACAAGGCAGAAATTAGCTCTGAGACGAAGTGATTGGACAGACACCAGCTTTTTGATGAGCTGTAGCTCAATAGCTCCGTGTCACTCGTGGACTTTAACTGCTGCCTCCTCACCTGAAATGTTCTGAGCCATTCCTGAAGACCCGTGGGTGGCTGGATGGAGGTGAGCCGTCGCCTCTGTTGGCCCTGACCATTGGCTGTTCTGATGTGGCCAAATGTGGTGGGTGTGGCTGGACATGGGACGAGTCCTGTTGGGCTAAATTTACAGATAAAAAGCACAACATTAAAATGAAAACAACACTGATATGAAACCTTTAGAAGCAAATAGTCCTAGAGGCCTCAAAGAAAAAAAAATACTGAATTCAACATAAGGGGAAGGGAAGTCTGAGATTGTCATCATTGTATGTTTCTATACAATGACGAAATTGGTTCTCTGCATATAACCCATTACACATGAGATACACCCAGGTAGAGCAGAGGGCAGCTATGTAAACGCCCGGGGAAAAAATAGAGATAGGGCGTCTTGCTCAGAGAGGCTGGGAGTCGAACTACGACTTTCTGGTCCCAAGTCGGCTGCCCTACCGTTACCCCATCTCAGCTCTAAAACCATTGTAAAGGTGTTCCAGGTTGTTTTACTGCCACTTTGTACATATTTTAATACGATTCACTTTGAATGACACTATACAACTACTGTGTTTTTTGCCCTATAAATCGCATTTTTTTGCATAACTTCCATACCCTGCGACTTATACGCTGAAGTGACATATTTATGTTTTTTACTCATATTTATAAACCATTTTTTGGCTGAGATATGACCGTTTTCATTCATTCTGACTGAAAATATTGAACCCTACAATTTTCAGCCACTAGATGGCACTCATGTAGGCATGCCGTTGTATCGTGCAATAAGTAAACGTGGCTATTAATGACACAAATGGTTTGCCATAGATTGCTACATTCGTTTTGCTCGCTTGGAGCAACCGTCAAATCAGCTTCATTTTGCTGCACCACCCCGGCGAAATGCAGCTAATTTGACCATTAAAAGTGCATTTATTAAGTAAAAATTCAACTGAGACACATCTTTACTATAATGTCGAGCAAACAAATAATTGTTTTTAGGTGTTAATATTGTTAAATTCTTGTTAAGGTCCTCCCGTGCACGCTCCCACTGTCGCCACTTGGCAGCCCATTGATTTTTGGCACAACACCAGTCCACATTTCCGGGTTGTTAGCGGTGACGCATAATAGATGCGACGTATACGGTGAAGCGACTCATTTATGGATTTTCTCACTTTATTAGACATAATTGGAATAATGCGACTTATAGGGCGGAGCGACATGTACGATGGAAAAAATGGTAAACATTTGAATATACAGTTTAACATTTGGGCATTTTGTTAATGATTTGGCTTTATTTCTGTTCATATGACAACTTAAAATTAATCTTTTATTGTGAAAGACTCTTTAATAACTTATTTTCTGAGTTATCAGAAAGGCTAGCAATATTGTTGCATTATCACTGTTGTCAAATCATTATATTTATGCAACACAGTCACCACTTACACAAATATAATAAACATTTATGTAATCATAAAACACAAAAAAACATTCAATTTGCTGGTCTAAATGTAATACAAACTTAATAATTGTATTAATCTCACTGTATCCCGATACATTGTTAATAAAACATATTAATTCAGATTCTGATATTGATTCAATTATTCTACAAGTTTGTAACAAAATAATCTATGTAAGCCTTGATAAATAAAAAAGACCAGATTTATTGCCAAACAGTTGCCATTTTTAGAGGTGTATTCACCTATAACAAGAGAATGTGTATTTTTGAATGAAACCTTAAAATGTCCACGATCGCAGTGGCAGCTGGAGAATTTATCCTGTGAGTTCTCCCACTGTTTTGGATTTGCCTGCTGACGGGTAAATGGGGAGCTGGGGGTCGATTTCATTATTGATTCATTTTTAATGGGAGAGGAAGCTGAGAAGGGGCCAGTTACATAGCAACATTTACACTTAAGTGCCTGCGTTCAGTATGAATTTTAATGTAGCTACATGTGAACACACACATTAAATATTCAGGGAAAGAGAAACATCTGGGACTGCTGGCTGGATGCTGCAGTGGGACATGAGGCGTCCTTCTGTTTGAGGACACGTGTAGCGCTGTTTGTACCACTTGATGGTTTTAATTTATTTCAGTGACAGGTTCTTTCTTAGTACGTGTGGCAGAAGGGAAATAAAAGCAAAACTCTACATTCAAAGGATATTTAATACAAATGAAAAGAAGGAGGTATTATTGTACCTTGTATACTCGGAGCCTTTGCAGGGCTTTTTTCCTGAAGGGAAAGATCGGACCTCAGGGCCATGGTCCAACTTTCTCTTCATCTGATGAAAAAGAACAAAAAAAACGCTAAATATTAAGATGCAACAAAAATTTTAAAGTCTTTAAAAACATTTTGTATGCTTTAAAAGACTTTTTTTTTTAATTTGGAGACAAATCTAGCTTCCTAATACAAGGTCAGTGGTTAAAAAACAAGTTTAAGCAGAACAAGGATCCAGGATGCCTTTAAGGATAAAAGCAGAAGCAAGAAAATGCTGATGCACTTTAAAGACGTTGTTCCCATTAAATCTAACATTTAGCATATTCAAATACAAGAAACAGTTTAGCAGCTTGTGTATGCAAATAGAAACTCCATTGGCAAGACATTTTTTATCAGCATGTTCTATAACAAAGCACAACACATCCCAAAGGTAGATTTGAAAAAGTTCTAAATCGTGAGATGGAAGCCGCAAAGAAGATTCTCGTTTTACAGCCCTGCTTAATTTGTTTGTGTTCCATCTTGAACAAGATAACCACAAGAACAGTTATCCCGGGGCAACCAGACACACAATAATATCCAGAGGCAAACATACTCACACCCAAATTCCAAGGGTACAGCATGTTCACACACAATCACCACTGACTGTAAGTCTTGTAGCAAGGGTACAAGGTGCACCCTTTGACTCTGTGGTTCACAGCAAACAAACACAAACTAGCCAGTTCTTCAATATTCTTTATCACCTGCACCACTCAGTTCCTGTTTCCACCTATCCTGCTGCGCAAACAAAAGAGCCTGTGTTAAAGGCAAACTCATTTTCTTTACCCTTTGCCTGTTGCTCTCTGGCAAAGCTTCTCAACACACATGCAAGTGATCACCGCCTCCTCGCTGGGCCGGGATGAATAAACAAGCTGGATGAATAACTAAATACTTACTTTTTTAGTGTCTGGTCAAAATGAGACATACACTGTGACAGTATGACCTTGTTGTATTAATTAAACATGGTGAATATTCACTTTACAGTTCACACAAGACTTGTTGTCTCATTGTTGTACATCAGTGGTTCTCCAACTGGGGACCCCAGACCCCTGAGGGTGCAGGAGCTGGTGATTGGGGGTCCATAAAAAAATGTATATACCATATTTTTCGGCCTATATGTCTTTTTTTTTTTTTTTGCATAATTTACATGCCCTGCGACTTAAAGGCCGAAGCGACATATTTATGGATTTTTTCCCATAAACCAATTTTTGGCTGAGATATGACCGTTTTTATTGAGTTTGACTGAAAATCTTTGAACACTACAATTTTTCAACCACTAGATGGGAGCAGAGTAGTAGGGCATGCTGTTGTATCATGTAATAGGTAAAGTGGCTATAATGACAAACTCAAAAAAGTCCAAGACAAAAACAACTGGACTTTATTTATTATACTTTATTATTTTTGTCTTGAACTGTTTTGAATTTACCATGTCCTGGATGACTGAGAATCTTCACCAGCTATTAATGACTCAATCGGCTTGCCTTAGACTATCACCACCTTCATCCAACTCGCCTGGAGCAACCGTCAAATCAGCTTCACTTTGCTGCGCCGCCCCGGCGAAAATGCAGCTAATTTGACCATTAAAGATCTTTTATTAAGTAAAAGTTCAACTGAGACACACCTTTACTATAAAGTCAAGCAAATAAATAATTGTTTTTAGGTGTTTATCTTGTTAAATTTTAAAGAAATGCAGCGGCTGGTCCTGCTGTGCGTGCTCGCTTTGCAGCACCTCAGCAGCGAAACAATTTTTGGAATGCAGCTGATTTGACGATTAAAGGGCATTTTTTAAGGAATAGTTCAACTGAGGCACACCTTTGCAATAATTTTGAGCAAACAAATAATTGTTTTTAAGTGTTAATCTTGTTAATTTCTTGTTGAAGTCTTCCCGTGAAAGGCCCAGCGGTCGCCATTTGGCAGCCAATTGATTTTTGGCACAACCCAGGCCCACATTTCCGGGTTGTCAGCGGTGACACGTAAAAGATGCAACGTATACGGCGAAGCAACATATTTATGGATTTTCCCACTTTATTAGACATATTTGGACTGATGCGACTTATAGGGAGGAGAGACATGTACGGTGGAAAATACGGTATATATATATATTTACAAGCATGACATTGTTTAACAACCCGTTAAAGTATAACAAAATATAGGAAAGTCACATCTACTTTATTCAAAATTTTCTGGGAGAGACCCTGTTGTACATGACATGCTGTGCACAATAACAGCACTCGTGGCAAAGAAATTTATGGTTGAAAATATCTGGCAACTTTCTGTACAGTCCAATCTACTGTGCTGCTTGACACAACCTGTGTAGGAAAATTGTGTACACTTTTGCCAGTGTGTAGGATAATAAGATACTGGCTTAAAGAATACAGAGGCCAAATTTAGCTTGTTTTCCCCTTTGAGGCACACACAATGCTCTTTTGATGCAGCTTTATGATTGTAGTATTGTTCTGTGCACATGGAAGCAGCAGTGGACATTTGACTCCAAGCTGTCTGGCTTTGCAGTGGCATGATTACATGTCTACCTCAAGATGTGTGCTTTTTTTGTTTATCACTGTAATTTAGCGAGTGTGTGTCTGAGTGTGTTTGTCCTCTGTGGTTTCAGCTCAGTGGGTACACGTGAATACTGAGAACAGCAAGTAGTGGTGCAAAAAAAAAGAAGAAATCTGGTTCTTTTTATCCCTTGAGAACGTCACAAACTGGAAAAAAAAGCATTGGTACACCAGCGATCAATAACTGATTTCCACCTTAATATTCAAAGAGGAATACAGACAGATTTTTTATTGACATCTGACAACCAAGGCTTGCCCTCCTGCAGGGATATGTACATGATTAGCACACCAGATATGCTCTGCAAATAAAGTGGCTCCTGGACATTAAACTGTGATCTGACCAAGCATTTTCAATCTTTTTTTTTTGCTATTTTACTCACGTTTGATGGCGAAGTAAAGATAAAATCTAATTAAATTTATACAGAAACTGTAGAGATCGCATCAGAAAGATTGATGAAAACAAAATAAACTTAATCAAAACCAGTATTAAGCAAACAGTCGGACCTTTTGAAGGGAAATGATGGAGGATGGTTGTGGTGGGATAATAATCATCTTACCTGTTGCAGATAGATCTTTGAACTACCTCACTTTAAAGAAACAATTTAATTCTGACCAAAATTGTGAGTTTAATCCGAGTGGGGTCAAGACCTAAAATGAATGTTGCTGCCATCTTAAAATAAATTTAATGTCAGAAAAATTATAGTGGTCCATGCTAGTGTTATTTTTCCCCCCAACCTTTACTTTTTCATTTAACCTTTATTTATACAGGTTAGTCTCAATGAGTCACGAAAACTCATTTACAAGAAAGACCCGAGTTAGACAGAACATATAAAGTACAAACAATAATAAACTACAGTAAAAATGCTATTAAATCACCATCACCATCTACATCACCATCTATGTCACATGGCACACTTATTTACATAGAATGATGTGGTTAAAAAACACATAGTGGTGGCAGTAGCTAGCTGTAGCACTTTGAGCAGATAAATAATATTTCTACCAGGACAACCATGTAATGCACATGTGACAGAACTGTTTGCATGAACTACTGGGGAGTTGTTTTATAATTGCAGCTAGGGATGCACAATATTGGATTTTTGACCGATATCCAATATGTTAAAACTTATTTGATCGATAACTGATACCAATATCAATTTTTTTCCCTAGACCTACGTAAGAGACCACATAGCTTTCTCTGCTGTGGAATTAAAATACTACATTATTCTGCATGGTCTTCGTCAGTTTGGACTGATACCAAAGGCAGATGCCAAAAAGGGGACTGAAAATGATGTAACACTTCAACTTGGATTATGTTTAATGTCAAATTGATTCATGAACTTTACTCTTTCTAACACAATGACAACACTCGAACAGTGCAAATTTGTAAATTTTTACAAATCTAAACTCAACGGCGTGCACGACGTCGAAACGTTGCGCTGGAGCTGCAGGCATCCTTGTCACTGGGTTGTCATACATATTTATACCACTGTGTGGATATATAAAAACAAATAGCACCTTTTCTATTTTTTTATATCGGTGTATATATATATATATATATACACACCAGTATATATATATATATAAATAGTGTCTTTTATGTCTGTGAGTTATTTTGATGGAATGGCCGATGTCCGATATTTATCTTTATCGCTAATATCAGCCGATACCGATACTATGCCAATAATATCGTGCATCCCTAATTGCAACCTATTTTTGTCTTTGCTTAGCTTGAACTAGCTCTTAGCTCGTCAATTTGGTCAGAACTATTTCTCCAAACTGAAGCAGTTTAAAAACTTTTAAACAACTTATTACTTGCTCGTAACTTTTCCGCAGAACCCCACTTCAAAAGACCTGAACTATCCCTCTTAAAGCTGGACCTGTCTACATTTGAAGCTTTCCTGATTAGGAGTTACGTGATATTCACAGACGTTAAAGCCCATCGCTTAAACTCAAATTGCCTTGTTCTCCAAGTGGTGATCTCACTTCAATGGCAGTTCAGTAGCCAGGGAGAGCCTGGGTGTGTATATGCTTGCAGAGGGGATGTGTGCTTGTGTTATGCATGTGTTCCTGAGGTGGTGGTGGTGGTGGTGGGGGGGGGGGTGTATTGGGTGGGTTTTGACTGGGTTTGTGTGAGAAAACATCAAACTCGACATTGACATGGGAAAGAAGAAAAGGAAGAAGCATTTGTAAATCGCTACCAATGAGTCGACCCTTCTCCCCCCAGGACTACAATTCGTTCTACGTGGCTAAAAGCACAAACATGGATATGATATTTTAATGATATTTTAAAGACAACAATCACTTTCACAAACTGTGTTGTTTTATTTCAAGACATTCTAATATGAGTCATTTGGAAAAACTCTAATTTTTCAAACAGCGCTTCAGTTTCCCAATAAGATGTGAAACCTTTGACAATATTTTGAAAGGAGCTGTCAAACTGTATGTACAATTAAAAACGTGATTTTTT